TCGCAAGAGTTTTCACGCCTATACAAGTTATACTAAAAATACAATTAATGTATTAATAACTAATATTTTTGCACTCGATTTATTTTCAGTGTTGTTGGGTGTAAACTTGTATTTATTTTTAAGGAAATGAATTACAGTAATTTACTGCGGTACAATTCAACATTTTATATTTATTTTATTTACTATTATTATAATAAGATTTACTTTTTATAATACTTTAACTGTAGTACCTCTGGAAGTACCACAAATAAAATATAATACTGTTTCCTATATTGTGTAAATTACATATGACGTAAAGGATGTAGAACAAGAAATAATGTATGAAATAGAGGTTTAAATGTAGTTATCTTTAACTTTTAATAAATTATTGATAAAACGATACTCAGATGACGCATAAAGTGATAGTTTAATAAATCATTGGGTTATAATTGAATCGGAGCAATGACTCTGAAATGTGGAAACATATGGGTATTATAAAATAAAGAATAGAATGTCTATTTTGTTTAAAATATAAGTATAGTTAAACAAATAATGTTTCACTTTCTGCAACCTAAAGTACATCTGATTGGTCCATTCAGAACCTCCACCAGCAGCAGTTAATTGAAGTATATTACAATATGTCACTTTACTAAATCGTTTATAATGTTTATATAGCGTACAATTGTAACAATGTAAATAAATATAGTATACAAATAAATGACGTTATAATTGGAATAAAATTGGATGTGGAGTCTACGTTGGAATACAATTAAACGGAATAAATAATATGTTCATAAAGCAATGTATAATTAATGAGATCAAAGATTGTTACTGTTTATATTGATTATATGTATTGCACGTTTACGGTGTTTTAACAAATGCATTATATCTGTACCTATTAAATGTTAGTTACTTTATTGTCGTTAGATGAGGTGCTAAACAGATTTTACATAAGAACAAAAATTTTGTTGTCTTCACAAAGTTATTCGAATCTGACAAAGCTTCCCAACACTTACAGGCAGCGACACGTAAAATAGAAAGGTGTGGTATTTAACATTAATGATAGTTGAATGAACGTTTACTACCTTCTACTATTTAAACTGTGTATAAAAGTATTTATTTGTTGACTCTTCAATCTGCAATACTAATCGACAAGCTCATTTAACGACTGTTGTCATGTTATAAGACTATATGCTTAACATAGTTTATAGTTTTGTATGATATTCGAATTATTTTTAATTAAAAGCTGTACTCATATCTTAAGAAAAATATAATTAAAGATTTTCGAGAAAATATGACATGCAATTCCGAAGAATGTTTATATTCTTTTTCTACGCACATTAAGTAGTTTAAATATCAACTAAACAACTAATTGTTATTGTTAATTAATAATTAAATTTTATGATAAATAGATAATAATCAGCAGTAAGTAATTATTAAATTGTAAATAAATATAAATGTCTGAATACTATAAAAAAAATGAATAACATATTGAATAGCCGAAGCATATGTAACTAGCAGTGTCTAAATTTTAAGTAAACAACCATTATTTTCAAAGACAGTATCTTTTTGTGTACACACTGGCTTATAAAATTCGCTAAAACGGCGATTCAATATACACGCAATTTTGATAAACAAAACACTCTCAATGAACACATAAGCTTACTTTAAAATTTTTTACAACCCATTAGAAATCAATTCGTGTCATAAACTTAGAAAACTAGTATATCTAGGTAATTATAATTTTTGTTACTAGATAATCACATGAAACCAAATAAAACTGATCATTCCTAACAGGAACAAATAAACATTTATCAAGATTTTAGTTGAGTCACTGTCTACTACAAAATAAATTCATATAATAAAAGACATTAACCAATAATTAATCAACTAATTAATATTCATTAGTGTAATAATTATTCCATTACCTCCAAATAAACTTCAATGAAATGTTACCAATTTTATATGTCGTTATAATAAAAGTTATGATAACAAATAAATATGAAGTACATTATTATTATATCGTTATTAATTAAATACATGTGCACGCAAAAGCGGTAGGAACGTAGAAAATATTATAAGTAGTTAATAGATCGAAACGTTTTAACTTCTTCGTTAAAAAAGTATATATCTTTTGTATTATTATTAACGAAGGCGATTTAATTATACAAAAATACCTCAAGCTTCAGAAATCTTGGCCAGAAATGTCATCGCGGTGACTCGAAACCGAAAGAACATTTATTTAAGGCGAAGATCAACGACTTACGAGTAAGAATCCGGCGAAGATTACCACAGTGGTTTTCAAAGGAGGAACAAGTACGCTAGCCGGAGGACTTCTTAATGAGATTAGGTGTCCCAACGACAAACACTCCCTGGTTAGATTTACATTTTATACATTTTTAAGCGGTCTTACAGTAAAGTCTTCCTTACTCCTTGATCCTGAATTGCCTTAACGCTAGATCTACCGAACATTTAATACGATTGATGTGCAATCCCTACAAAAATTGTAACAACAGATTATTTTTAGTTTCTTTAGACATTCATTAATTCCTTCAGACATTAAGATATAGTTGCGAAACAAAGAAACAATCATTTTGACTGGTACGGTAATTCTAGTGCTAAACTTACTTCAGTGTTATTACTCAATCAACATTTCCGTTTTAAATAGATACCGATTATTTCAAAATCCCAAATCCAGACTACGCTGAGTAAATTTGTAATTTTACGAAATTGAAACAATAGATCTGCCGGAAAGTTCTGTCCGTTTTTGAATTAAAAGAAAATAATACGTTTTTAATAGATTTATTAATCTTTAAGTATGGTTTCAAAATTCATAGTATTTTATATAGAGTTATATAATAATTATATTAATTATATCGAGACAATTAATTATATAAAGTTAAATAATACAAGGCATATAAAATGCTGTAAATTTTGAAACCAGTGAAGTTTTCTTCAGATAGTTGATACTACTGTTATGTAGAGATATTTAAATAAGTAAAAATAAAATAAATAAATACAATAAATTTATTTACTAATTGCATACAAACGAGAATATTTAATATTAATCAGTAATTTTCAGACTTCCATATTTAACATTAAAACTACCGAACAGTTAAATTGAGTTTTTGAAATTTCTCTATAGAAATTCTAAGGACATCTATTAAAACTTTAATTGATTTACAATTTAATTTACGTATTGCTAAATCAATTTCTTTCATCATTTTTCAGAGATACGTCTTTTATCTTTTTAGCAATTGCAAAATGAAAAAATCAGGAATGGGTCATTTTGTCCTGTCTGGTAATTTTAGTGTTAAAGGTTAAGTTCATGTTCATACCTACAGGTTAATATTTACTGAATAATATAATTTCCATTTTTACATTTTTTGTAGAATGACTCATCTTTGGAAACTTGAGATGACATTACGAGGCAGGATTTTCTAGTGGACTTAATGTAGATTTCGACATGTCACTATTATTCCTAGTAATTTTCAATTAAAAAATGTTTCATTTGTTTAGATTGGCAACAGAGTATGCAATATGAACGTTCGTCAATGGAAATTGTATATAAAATTGAATGAGCCAGTAAAATGTTTTGTCGGACTTTTTTTATTGCGAACGAATAAACTGTGTTATCGCGTTATAAACGTTTAATGCCGAACTACAGTTGATCTATCAATATTCAATACTGCGCTAAGCTTTTCCGTCGGAATTTGTTGATTTTCATGAACTAAATTCTGCACAATGTCTTCGTCAATAACAAAAAGCCATCCAAAGGATGGATTATCGCACAGATTAAAATCAATACGTTTAAATTCAGTGAATCAGTTTTTACAGTTTAGATTCGATATAATAGGCTTTTTATACACGTCACAAATGTTTCTTTAGAGAGTTTTTAATGTTTATTGCTCTACAAAATTCAAATATGTTTATCAAGTAATTAATACTTGTTGTCTATTATATTTGAGAACAATACAATTCGTGTAATGGAGCCAGTAATTATTATTTATTAACAAGATTCCATTGTATTGCGTTGCCAATAATGTGATATAATATTTCAATAAATGTTACTATAGTTTTTACAAAACGTGATGCTATACTTACTGTGTGATCATTGATCGAAATATTTAAACTGATTTAAGAACTGTTTGAGTATTAACTTCCTACAGTACAAAGAGTTTTCGAATATTTAACTCAAAAAATTGAATCAATAGTTTATTTAACCTTTTGCGTTCGAAGCTTTTTCTCGCTGATATTACCAGCAATTCAAAGCAGTTTTAATAAAAAGAGTATATTATCATATAAATATATGATACGCATATGAAAAGTCATAGATGTATTTTACTGTTTTCTATCGATTATACATAGAAATGTTATAATATATTTAACGACAAAATTTTACAATGTGTAGTGAGAAATTTTAAATGGTTCTGTTCCGGAGCCCTCGAGTTCAAAGGGTTTATATATTACATTCACATATAATTATGCTCAATCCATATTTTAATATGAAATTAGCCGTTTCGTCTTTGAGGTAAACGAGCGGCAACCGACAAACAACAACAATAATGGGCAACGTATGACTTGAAATGTAATGTCCCCGAATGTGTGTGTGAGAGAGCGAGAGTGCAATTAGAAGAAAGAAGAGAGAGTAAGTGTAACAACCCCGAGTGCGTGCATGAGAGAATGTGTGTGTGTGTATGGCTCCTATATAAACGACATAGGTCGCAGGTTAGGGAGGGAATTAGCGAAGTAACAGCAAACATTATCAAGCGTATCAGTGTCTTTTCTGTTTTCGGCGTTCTGCACTTCATCATTTTGTAATTTTCATTATATTGCGAATAAAGCATTAATTATTTCCTATAAATATGTTGATTTTATGTAACTATTTATTAAGGGAGTTTTCTAAGTCAGAAAATGAAGAAAATCGATATTATAATTATATAATATTTACATGTAATGTGGCATAAAACTTTAAATTTGTTAGTTACATTGAAGAAAATGAAAATCCACAAGAAACTTACCTCATCCAAAGGACAACCAGCAGAAACCAAAAGCGCATGGCTGTGGAGCAATAGCAGTCTTAACAACTTGTTTCTAACTTCCGCTGCTGGACTAGGAGGTGGCGGTCTCGATCTGTACACCTGAATCTTCAATGTTGCGACAGAAGTCAGTTCGGCCAAAATATCGCCGACTGTTAATAATGGGCCATCCGCGACCTTTTCCATTGGCAGTGGTTTCCAGTTTCGTATTACGATACTTCCTCTGGCACTTGGTATCAGGTCGCTTGAATAGCCCAAACGTACCAATGCCTCACCAACTAAATCCTGTGAAAAATAAGAAAAGGATCATTAACTAAAAAATGCAAACAATGTTCGTTTTCAAAAAATGTTTGCCTCATTATGGACTGCAGATAATTCAATTACAGTTTACATCATTTAGAAAGAAAACATTTTAACACACTAAAACTACCGGACAGATCAAACCTTATGAAGGTGTTTTTGCGAGAGATTTTCAATTAAATTTGTGTATTTGTACAGAGACAAGACTAAGGGACCCTTCGAATCTCAAGAAACGTATTATTCTAATTTTTATAAAAAATTGGAAATAAGTTACTCTAATTGTTCGGTAGTTTTAGTGTTAAAGTAAATATATGAGCCTTTTTCTTTGAAAGTTGTATAAGCCCATTTAAATGAAAAGAAAAAACTGTTAAAAATATAAAAAGATAATATAAAATCGGAATTGTTATAACCATTAATTTGATTTTCTTGGAAAATGATTTTACGCAATATTTAAAATAAACGATTCATATGTTTCGCAGCGTTAAGAGTTCCCGGTGAATAAGTTTCCAACCAAGTAGTTACGATCAAGCAAAATTATCGAATTTGGTAATTTTGTACCATTTATATACGAGTATATAATTTATTTTAATGCCATAAATCAAATTAAATACTTTTTCAAAAATACCAAATAAATTAAGCATGTCACATCACATTTATAGTTAATAATTATTGAATCTTATTCTTCTTTTCTCAACTTGACTTGTTGCTTGGTGATAAATTGATCAAATGATAAATTATTTAAATAATGAAGAGACACATTTCTTAATTTTTAGAATATATCATGAAAAATAGACAAATTGAGTATCTATTTATTTTGATGTACAATCATTATATTATTTACAAATAATAAAACGATGTGCTTGCCTCTTTTTTATGTCAATTACAATGTGGTAAAATGACAGCTGACAAAGAGTGAATAATTAATAGTAACTACTTTAACCCTTCTTCCCAAATGGTACACATAGGTACCACAAACATTTTGAATTACTGAAAAGCTAAAAAATGCCTAGATAAAGGAAAATTGTACTACATTGGGATCTTCACTTATAACTAACAGCTTAAGTGCTAATCAGCTGTCAGTATACGTGTGTTGATTGATTAGTGCACAGCTGTATGTCTTTTACAGAAAATTCATATTAACACTTAACGAACTAGTGGCTTCTTATCTATCTTTCTCCAGTCCCCCGAATGTTTAAAAAAATGACATAAACCTGTATGCATATATTTAAATTATTACTAATTTATTAAATTAGTATCGCTATTAATACAATTTTGAGAAAATATTTATTTTTATGTTTACTATTTGTTACTGGTACGGGGTTTTGGAAAACATTAAGTTAGAATGAGAATATGTAAATCTACGTGACCCGTTCGTTAAGTGTTAAAAGAATATATTCAGGGACGAACCGGTTAATTTTCATATCTATGAGTAATAGCTATCATTAAAATGAATACAGTGTTTTAAAAGTTGATCGCTTATTTATAAAGAAATCAAATTGATTTACTTGGAAAGGCATGGCCACAGGGATGATCACGTACGAGTCCGTTTCTACTTGAGGTCTCCGCCAGTTCTCACGTGAGTTGCTCACATGACTCTCCACGATGTTGTGAATCGTTTCGACCACACAATGCACTGGAATATTCTTCCCTGCAACCAAAATTGTGTATTCCAATTATATCCGTTAGTTATTTAATGTTTCACTAACATGTTCAATACGTTTTTAACTCTAGGTTTACGGACATTAATTTGTCTACTTTATTGTATTGTCCCCAGAAAAATTAATGTTCGTTCATTTAGATCTTGGGAATTAGAGGCTTCAAAATAGACAATTAACACATCATCTACTGGCAATTATTAAACAGTTTATTCAAGATTAATAATCAATGTTTAAGAACTTCTTAATCAAAGTTTTAATAACAATAGTAATTACAATCCTGGATTAGAAAGTCGTATTGACTAAAATAATTTAATTATTATTTAAGTACTATTAGTCAATGAAAATTATTATACCGTTTTCTAAATATAAAACTATGATTTTATGAAAAGCCTATTAACACTAGAATCACCATAACAGTCAAAATGACTGGTTCTGGTTTTCTTGTTTCGCAATGGCTGATACCTTAAAAGCATTGAATATTCGCAATGATTTTAAAAATAAACAATTTTATTTGAATACTATAATGAATGTCTGAAGAAACTGAAAATAATCTATTGTTACAATTTTTATACGGATTACATATCAATCGTATTGAATGCTCGGTAGTTCTAGTGTTAATAACTTTCTGATGAATAACGTGTTAAGTCACATATTTACATCTTTCGATTAATCAAAATCGACATAAACATTTAGTAAGTAATATTTATAAAATTCAATACGTGTCAAATTGACTCGTTCCGTAAAATTAGTATTGATAAAGGAATTTTTATATTAACACTTGAAATTCATCGTTTTTAAATACCACTTTTATAGCCGATGTTTTAGAATGATATAGTTCGAATTGATTAATAGGTATATCGTATAAATGAAATAAAATATTTTAATCTCTGGACAGAAAGTAAATGTGAAGTAGGCATACACGTACATGTAAATATATGCTAATATTATAATTATTAACTAATAATATAGTATCAACATGGAAATTAACTGTTTAACAGTTGTAATTGTATCTATTTAAATTCATGATTTCTCGTCCAACTTCTCTACTCATGACTCGTTTAAAGCGACAATTACATATGTTAAATTTCAATAGTCCCATTATAATCAGATATGATAATAAAAATAGACTTAGATAGGACAGTTATGAAAGTATTTGTACAATTTATATTTTATAACTATTTATTTTGTATACATATATGGAAAAAGTAAATATTGTTTATCTATAATTTGTTTGTACTATTTTTTATTTCTCTGTATTTTATGATTCCTTATAATACTGAAAAATGATCTTTAGATTTCAAATTACCTGTTTCTATAAAAAAAAATGAATGAAATGAAAAAGGAAAGAACTGGATTTAGACATACTACACGAACAGTGATTCAATTACAGGACATATAGTGCTACGTCTATGAAAATAGAACTGCACAGATTTCAGAAATGCCACTACCAGAAAAAAACAGTATATCTTGAAAACATCTCCATGAATCATAAATATCATCACTTCAAGGATCTGATTTTATGAAATAAGTTCTCATGAACTGTAGAATGCATGTAATTATTGAAAGAATAAATATAATTATTATACTACAGATTTTATTCATTAATTCATTTATAATATTTGTAAAAAGTTATTGACTTTTTCTAGACTACTTTATAAAAGTTTATGTTTACATAAAAATCCGCAGTTTAATTATTATGAACGATTATAAATATCTACTGTTTGGCGGCAAGGATTTTATAAAACAAGAACACATTACAGCTAAAAAATATGATAGATAAACGAATGTAACAGTACGTCCAGTCAAATAGTACTTTAAAGCACTTTCATTAAAATATCAAATAGTATATGTTTGAATTTTTTTTTAATTTAACTTCAGTTACTATTACGTACCATTCAGTTAGATTTTAAAGTAATCTATGGCTCTATGCTTTTTGTTTTTCTTATACGATTTGCTCATATATACTTTCGATTGTACACAGTGGATGAAATATAATGTACTGAGATACTACTATACAAAAACCATTTCTTTCACTTTCATGCCGAATGAAATATTTTCCAAGAGGAATGCTAGAAGGATATGGCTACAATCACATCGTATAATAAAGGTACAGTGTGTTACTGACGTGAACCCAGTCGGCCTGTGGCTCAAAAGTGAAGAGGGGTAAGGGGATTCGGCCGCACGCTCCACCTCAACTCGTGGCTCGGTCAGTAACAACAACATGCCTAAACTAATTCCGCCATTACGTTTCACTTAAATCACTTATCTCTAAATGTACTTATTGTGAAAAGTGAACTTAATTCTTCGTCATAACTATTTAATTGCGTGAAAGATGCTTCAAGCAAAGGACATTCAATTCAACTGGAGATATCAAAAGAAAAAAAAATTAATAAACCATTACACTAGAAAAACAATTTAAAAACTGCTTTCTCCTGCCAGCAATCGCTGCGAAAAAATGTATTGCACACTAAATAATCGGTTTCTCATTCATAGTTGAAGACTTCAAGGACAATGTCAATGTAAAGTATTATCTCTGATACTGTGTACAATGTTTTTATTTCTTTTAATTAGTTAACTATTATTTTTGTTATACTCTTTAGGATTGAAGTACGTATATAATGAAATATATAATTTAATAGTGAAATCTAGAAAAAATATTGGGAAATATAAACTATCAACAAAGTAGGGTAACATCTGTAATGGAGAAAGAAGAATTTGAAGGAATTGAAAGAAACTGGAAATTAAACGTCGTCGCTGAAAGGTTAAAAGAATTTGATACCTATTGTGGTTTCACAGAAAATAACTTGTACACAATATTTCAAGTACCCTACAGTTGTATAAACATAGTATCATGCGAATAGAATAGTAATAATAATAGTAATTATATATTTGAATAAGTATACTACAGTTAAATGATTTCAAACAATATTACATTAATCCTTAACGATTCAAAGTATTTGAAAGCTTATCGCTTGGTATAGAATATAAGGTAATTCCTAGTGAGATAGCCCAATCTCATTAAGATTGTCAAATATCTATATTTTCAAATATTTTTAGTGGTATACTGAGTCTTGTAGGCAGGCCTATTTAACATGTTAAGCGCCACGAGAATCTTAGCAAAATCGTAGCGAAGGTAAATAGCAACAATTATTAATTATTTGGCATCAGAATATTTACATTACACTATTGGTAACTTATTTATGTTATTAAATACTTTTAGTCGACAGCAGTCATTTTGCATATTGTAATTCTATTCAAGCAATTCAGAAGCGTCGGTCTTCATAAATATATTTTGTTTTGTCAAGCATTAATCATGTTTATAATGTAATAGTTCTTAACTAAAGAATGCGCCATTTCTCTCCAACTTATCCTACAGATGAAAAACGAAAATGAATTAACTAAAAGGCATCGACTTACCATCTAACGTTAAATGAGAATGTAATGACAATAACAACGATGGAAATAATAAAATGATCTTCTGTCGGAATATACGTAGCATTCAATGTTATAAGTAAAACTACCATGCGACATGTTCGAATCTTTTTAGATTTCTGTATGATCCTATTCACCCCAGAATTTCGACGAATAGAAATAAATAAATACGAATAAATTTATAAAAAATAATTTTCATTCTCCGTTTTATCTATAGGGTTTTCCTTCTTAAATCTGAACTGATCCGATTCGCTCGGTCTGCGCTACTACAGCATTGGTCCCCTAACCAGTTAACTGTGTTTGACGAGTACACAGGTCACCTTAAAAAACTCAAAATGGTATTAATTCTTTTAACGATGAATCATTTATTTTCTTAGAGAAACATAATTCTTCTTTATTTTGCTTTAGTTCTTCGTTAAAATATATTACAGGTGTATTTGCCCTTCGTTCAACAAATATACACGTTATTGTATAATTTAGTTGCGTGCACAATGAAAGACTTCTAAAACTAAATTCCACAGTTAACAGGTTAAAGATTAATAATTATTATGCGTATTATTTGAACAATTATTGGACTATTCAAAATAAAGATGGTAAAATATAAGAATGGCATACATCAAATTATAATGATACAAGATCAATAAAGCAGAAGCAAAGGAAACAGAACGCGACACCGACTCATATCCTAACGCCGCACGAAGAATCAAGCCAGTTCCGGCTTTGTAGATTCGACTGACAATGGCCGCGCGCTTTCGCATTTCAGGATTTGAATTCGAGGGTCCAGATGATTCGTGAGGCTGAAGATCGTTGAGAGAAGTCTAACTCCCGCGCTAAGCATATGCAGATCCACTCGTCTATCCCGAGACAATAAGAGCTGGGCGATGGCACAATAGCTGCGATCCTTGTGTAACCCTGACTTAAGTCCCGGAGTCTATCCCACTCCAGGTCATAATCCCAGACTTCTGCGAAACCGAGGAAATGGAGAACGAGAGGAAGCAAGGAAAGAAGAAGAAGGAGGGTAAACTTGCTTTCACCGATTCTATTCGGTATACAAGGTAATACTTATTACCCGAAAACCTCGGTCTCTCCTGCCGGAAAACAAAACGTTATCTGTTTCGTCGAACCACTCGGCGACCTACGAATCCGGTGGTTACTTCGAGAATGCGTCACTAAACGGCTTAAACCGTGCCTCTTTACCCAATACGTTGAAATTAAAATGTCTCCACCTTTGTGGTAAATTCAGATCAGCTATACAATGAGACTTAACCCCCTGCCTTATGATTTCTTTCACATGTACTTGATAGAAGTAATTTAACATCAAAACTACCGAGGAGTTAGATCGACTTTTTGAAACCCTTCTACAAACACTTGCAGAGTGCATCTGTTGAGACTTTCATCGATTTAAGATTCAGTTTGGGTATCGTTAAATTAACGTTTTTAATCATTTCTGAGAGAAACAGCTGCCATCTTTTTGATAATTACAAAAAGAAAATATAAGGAATTGGTCATTTTAACCCATCTGGTAGTTTTAGTGTTAATGTTAATAATTTATTAGAAA